GGATTCCGCGGCTCACTAGGCTAATCCTCCACCTGCAGCGCCAGCACACCGGGTTCTAGTCCCGGTCGGGGCGCCGGATTCTGTCCCAGTTGCCCCTCTTCCAGGCCAGCTCTCTGCTGTGGCCAGGGAGTGCAGTGGAGGATGGCCCAGGTGCTTGGGCCCTGCACCCCATGGGAGACCAGGAGAAGGACCTGGCTCCTGCCTTCGGATCAGTGCGATGCGCCGGCCGTGGCGGCCATTGGAGGGTGAACCAACGGCAAAAGGAAGACCTTTCTCTCTCTCTCTCTCTCACTGTCCACTCTGCCTGTCAAAAAAAAAAAAAAAAAAAAAAAAACCACAAACCTATTTTATTTATTTGAAAGGCCGAGAGAGAGACATACAGTCCGAGGTCCTCCCTCTGCTGCTTCACTCCCCAAGTGCCTGCCACAGCCAGGGCTGTGCCACACTGAAGCCAGGAGCCTAGAACTTCATCTGAGTCTCCCATGTGAATGACAGGGGCCCAGGGACTCGAGCCAGCACCTGCTGCCTCCCACGATGTGCATTAACAGGAAACTGGGATCAGAACCAGAGCTGGGACTTGAACCCCAGGCCCTCCAATGTGGGGTGCAGGTGTCCCAGGTGGAATCTTAACTTCTGTGCCAAGTGCCCACCCTCACTTCCTGTCACTGAATCCATTCAGATGAATAGACACTGTGCCCATTTTACAGACGAGGATGCTGAGGCACAGAGAGGCCAGGTGACTTGCCTGAAGTGGAGTCTGTACGTGTCTACACTGGACTCAGTCCTGCGATAGAACCCTGGATTTGTGCTAGCCACTGGCTGTGCCCTTGTCCTCTTAAAGCCCAGTCTCAAAACTGTTCCACCCCGCTGCTGGGGGATGGGTGCGCGTGCATGTGTGCCTGCACCAGGTCCCCGCCCTGCTCCCGAGCCCTCCTGCACTCCCCCAGAGACCACAGGAATTCATCTCATCACTTTATCAGGGAGGCACTTATAGAAATTACAAGGCAGGGCCGCCAGCCTGGCTTTGCTGGCAGTCAGCCGCTGGAGCCATAAAGCAAACTGAAAGGAACAAAAATAAATAAATAACATAAGAATTCGCTCATACACACACACGCACACGCACGCACACACACGCACCTGTCCTCAAAGGGTCAAGAGCGTTGCTCACAACTTGCTGTTAGCACTCTTGTCCTGGAAGGGCACTAATGCCAGGTCCACCTGCACCCTTGACCCCCCGTTCTGAGCAGCCACCTGTGCTTCCTGCTCCCCGAGGGAATGGGAGCCGGTTCGGGGAAGATTGGCAGTGTGCTGCAGCATCCCCCAGGCAGCCTGGGTACCGCCCCTGTGAGCTCCCTGCCCCGAGCCACCCTGTGTGGCCGCCTGGGTTCCAGTCCCTGCCTCTCCCTCAGCCTGGGCACTGCTGACCTTTCTCCTGTGTGAGACGGGTTCCTGAGAAAACTAGAGACTCAGTTGCATAAAGCAGAACTGTAGCTGCCCTTGTGCAGGCTTCCAGGCACCTACTGTGTGCCGGGCACTTGCAATCCGGAGAGGAGCCCATCTGGGTGGAAGAGAGAGACGGTTACAGTACCGGTGGTGGCTGTCGGAGAGGCGGGGCCGGCCAGGCAAGCCGGTGCAGGAGGGGACTGTGGGTTTGTTTTCAGTCACGTGGCAAATGCCTGGGAGCCGGCAGGTCCCTGGGTTACAGGACTGACACTTCCGCAGATGGCTGGGGGACCGGAGAGGGCTGGAGAGAGGGGGCCGGCTTGGGGGCCACATTCTACAGCCCCCTCCAGACCAGGAGAAGGACATGGCTGCCATTGCTTTTGGCATAGCAGCCTCCTGTCTGTCTCTCTTTTAAATTTAAGCTTGCTTGTGTGAGTCATTGGAATCATTCCCCAAGAAACCACACAAGCCGGAGCGCTCTAAGAAATCACTGGGGTTAGAAAACAGGGAGGGGTCAGCATTGTGGTGCAGTGGGCTGCGCTGCCGCTTGTGATACCGGCATCTGGCTCCAGGCCCGGCTGCTCCACTTCCCATCCAGCTCCCTGCTGATGCACCTGGGGAAGAGGCGGAAGATGGCCCAAGTGAAGATTGTGTGTGTGTGTGTGTGTGTGTGTGTGTGTGTGTTTCCTCTCTGTCACTCTGCCTTTCAAATAAATAAATCGTTTTATTTTATCTATATATTTATTTTTGAAAGGCAGAGTGATGGGGGCAAGGGGAGAGGTCTTCTATCTGCTGGTTCACTCCCCAAATGGCTGCAATGGCCAGGGCTGGGCTGACCTGAAGCCAGGCGCCAGGAGCTTCTTCCAGGCCTCCCATGTGGGTGCAGGGGCCCAAGGAGTTGGGCCATCTTCTACTGCTTTCCCAGGCCATAGCAGGGAGCTGGACCAGAAGTGGAGCAGCCAGGACAGGAACCAGCTGGCATCACAAGTGGAGGCTTTCTCCCCCTACGCGGTGCGGGCCCCAAATAAATCTTTTTTTAAAAAAGAACAATAAAATAACCAGCGAAAGGAGGGAGAAGGGTACACAGAGTCTTCCTGCCCTCTCCTCCCTTCACTTCTCACCCCCCAGCCCTCTGCCTACAGGACATGGGACAGGACAGAAGGTGGTGCCCACAGACCTGAGAGAGAGAGAGACAGACAGACAGAGATGGGGGCGGGGGGAGAGACCCTCTCAGCTGCAGCTCCACCATGCTCTGGGGAAGTCAGGGGCTGTGGGGTAGAGTGGTGGGCGTTTGGCAAAGTGGTTCAATCATCTCTGCTTGGGATGCGCTGATCCCGTATCTGAGTTTCTGGGTTTGAGTCCCGGCTCCTCTGCTTCCAACCCAGCTCCCTGCTAATGCGCCTGGGGGGCAGCAGATGGTGACCCAGGTGCTTAGGCTCCTGCACCCACGCGGGAGCCCCAGATTGGCTTCAGCCAGGCCCGGATCAGACTGCTGCAGGCAGCTGGGGAGTGAACCGACAGATGGGAGATCCGTCTGTTTCTCCAATGAGTCAAAGAAAGGGAAGGGGAGAAGGACACTGGCCGGCCGAGCTGAGCTGGGTCCTCGGTACGATCAGACCTGCTGTAAGGGTCCAGCTGTTTGCCTCCTCTAAGTCCTTCGTCAGTGGTGGGACGCAGGCCATACCTGGTCTAGAAAACCCAGGGCTGAGTGGTTTCTGTCTCTGGTGGGGAGGCTGCTGCACACGGAACATCAGGGCCAGCCACCCTTCTTCCCTTACTCACCACCAGACCACCCCAGCTTCTCAGTCGGCACTGGGGACCTGTTTTTTGGGGGCAACACTTCCGGGTTCCCCAAGCACCTTGTGAGATATAGGGGTGTCCTTGGAGAATTCCCTTCTGTCCCCGCAAGTCTCAGTTTGTCAGTCTGTGAACTGGGTGCTGATGTGTCTAACTTCGAGGGTTGCTATGAGGATCAAGGGAGCCGATGCAGGTTATGCGCATAGTAGGAGCATGGTACACCTGAGCGGGGTTACTATGAAGAGGAGGTGTGTGTGGAGGATCCAGGGGACAGGAGGCCTCCCTCTCCCTGCTTCCTCAGCAGGTGGGGGTCTCGGTGGGGCTGGGACAAGAGAGCTGCTGGAGTTCAGACTCCAGTCTCTAATGAGCCCGGCTCCGGCAGACCTCGCTGCCCTTGGCACAGGAGCTGGAGGACAAATAACAAGAAAGCAGCACGGTGGGACACTGTCTTTTCTTTGTACCATAAAAACAGTTTTTGAAAATATTTATTGGCCGACGCCGCGGCTCACTAGGCTAATCCTCCGCCTTGCAGTGCCGGCACACCGGGTTCTAGTCCCGGTCAGGGAGCTGGATTCTGTCCCAGTTGCCCCTCTTCCAGGCCAGCTCTCTGCTGTGGCCAGGGAGTGCAGTGGAGGATGGCCCGGGTCCTTGGGCCCTGCACCCCATGGGAGACCAGGATAGGTACCTGGCTCCTGCCATCGGATCAGCGTCGTGCGCCGGCCGCAGTGCGCCAGCCACAGCCGAGGGTGAACCAACGGCAAAGGAAGACCTTTCTCTCTGTCTCTCTCTCTCTCACTGTCCATTCTGCCTGTAAAAAAAAAAAAAAAAAAAAAGAAGAAGAAGAAGAAAATATTTATTTATTTATTTGAGAGGCAGAGTTACAGACAGAGGGAGAAACAGAGAGAGAGAGAGAGAATCTTCTATCCATTGGTTCACGCCCAAGTGACTGTAACAGCTGGGCTGAGCCAGGCTGAAGCCGGGACCCAGGAACTCAGTCTGGGTCTCCTGCATGGGTGCAGGGGACCGAGTACTTGAGCCACGACGCTGTCTCCCCAGGGTGCGCACTGGCAGGGCCCTGGCTTGGAAGTGAGGGAGCCTTGGATGTGGAATGCGGGCGCCCCCAGCAGCAGCTGCACGGCTGGGCCATCCTCCGTCCGAGGGCTTTACAGTGTGAACCTAACTTTCCATGCCAGGTCTTGCTGATTAACCTTGGCTGGGCAGACCCCTCACTGCCTGGCCGGTGAGGATTTGTGACTCAGTGAAAAGCAAAGTGATTTCCTCCAGGTTGGCAAATCCAGCTCGGCGGCCTGTGTCTGTCCCCTGTGGGTAGCAGAATCCAGGCCTGGGCACCTGTGGTCTTGGAGTTCCCCTGAGGCTCTCCCCCATGCCTTGGGGGGTGGGTCCCCGGGCTGGAGGCTGGGTGGCAGTGATCCCCATGGATGTTCTGGTTAGCACAGGGGATGCCAGGGCTAAGATGCCAACTCCGTGAGTGGATGGCCCGGCCCACACCGTGGGCGCCCTTGTCTGGAGAGTGTTTCTCCGGGGGCTGCCTGCCCCCCACCCCCACCCCCCCCAGACCTGTGAACGGGAATCCCTGCACAGAAGAGCCTGCAATGTTCTCAGAGCACCTGCTCTGGGGGACACGGCCCGATGGGACCCTCAGGGGCAGGAGGCGGTTTCAGGCCCAGCCCGTTGACCCACACCCGGCTCAGGGCCCTGGGCGGCAGGCCCCTGACCACCGTCTCTGTGTCTGCTTGCAGGAAACATCGAGTACAGCTGCCCAGCCACTAACGAGTGCGAGATCACAAAACGGAGGCGCAAGTCCTGCCAGGCCTGCCGCTTCATGAAATGCCTCAAAGTGGGAATGCTGAAGGAAGGTGAGAGGCCCACGGCGCCAAGGGCGGGGTCCCGGACACCACTGTGCTGGGGGTGGAGGGATGGGGAGTCTCGGGCGCCTGTGAGACGCCCACAAGCCGGAGCCTTCTCTCAGGCCGGCGCACCTGCACCTGCTACCCGCCAGTCCACCCTGCATTGGGGTTAAGACCCACTCCAGGGTGTGCACCGCTCCCCTCCACCAGGGGAGATGGGAGAACAGGTAAGAGTTTATGAGTTCTCCACTAAGGATTCTTGGGGGGGGGCCCTCAGTCCTCTGGGCCCTAGACTCTTGGCTTGGTGCTCTGTTGAAGGCCCCCTTTTGGGGCCAGCCTCTTCTACACAGGACGGGGCAGGTTTGAGAGGTTGTTTTACTCCCCCCTTAATTGCTGAGGTTTGGGGGTGAAGGAGGCAGAGACATGAAGACTCCCGTGGGTAGATAATGTCCCCTTCACAGCTGAGCCCAGCCTCTGCTTCCCAGCAGGTACATGGGCTCTCCCTCCCCCACCCCTGCCTCTCCCTGCCCTGCCCTGCCTCTCCCTGTGGCACCTCCTGTTCCTCTACAGCAACACACAGGGCTGGAGCACTGAACTGGGGCACGCTCCAGCTGTAACAGAGACCCCAGCTCTCGGGGATGAGAAGCCGTGCAAAATGTGCTAGTGACAACTCTTAAAAATGGTTGCACCCAGAAATGGTGACACTCTGGGCGTCCTGGGTTGAAGACAGCCCACTGTGACCCTGGTGCCCCAGGCTCCGCCTCTCCCTCCCAGATCCAAAGAAAGGGCGCTGACTGCACTAGGGATCCCTCCCCCTACTTTCCCTGTGGATCTGCTCGGTTTGGTGAATTTCATTCAGTGCCATTTGGGGAAGTGGTGTGTGTGTGCAAATGTGTATGTATGTGCAAGCGTGTGTAGGTGCATGTGTGTGTCTTTGTATATGTGTGTTTATGTACATATGTGTATGCATATGAGTGTCAGTGTGTCTGTACCTGTGTGTGTGTATGAATGTGTGTGTGTGTGTGTTTAGCCCCTTCTCCAAATTACAAAGGGAGCCAGGGGAGATTTTTACAGAACAAGAATTTTATGCTTCTGGGCTCAAGGAGCCTCCCAGAGTGGGAGGAAGCAGAGAAAGTGCATGTAGGGGAGATCAGGAGAGTGGCAGAGGAGAAAGGTGGGCACAGCAGGTAAAGCCACCACCTGCAGCTCTGGCGTCCCTTATGGGCACTGGTTTGTATCCAGCTCCCTGCTAATGTGCCTGGGAATGCAGGGGAAGATGGCCTAAGTGCTTGGGCCCCTGCACCCACGTGGGAGACCTGGATGGAGTTCTGGGTGGAAGATCTATCTCTCTGTGTGTCTCTCTCTCTCGCTCTGTAACTTTGTCTGTCAAGTAAATAAATAAATATTTAATGGGGGGGGGGCAGGCATAGAATACAGCCCCTGCCTGACAGAGGGAGGGACTGGGGAGTGGGCACCGCCCTCAGGAGTCCAGGCCTCCCTCCCACCCCTGTCTCAGTGCCCGGGGAGGCCTGCTGAGCCCTGTCTGAGGGAGTAGGAGCCTGCAGGCACCAGAATCCACCCGCCACCCCCCTTGCTGGCATCTTCTAAACCCAAGAGGGGAAAGACCACAGGAGGCCGAGTGCCTCCCTGAGTGTTTGTCCCCAGCAGCCCCTCCTCCAGATCCTGGGATCTGAAGCTCCGTGGGGACCGGCCCCCCAGAGAGGAGGAGCCAACCTCATCCAGGAGCCTGGGTGCCTGCTAGCGGGGGCGTTCTTGGCAGCGTGGCTGCTCCTGGCTCTGCCTGCGGGACCAGCCGACTCCAGCGTGACTCTGAAAGACTGATGTCACCATCCCCCCAGGCTGCTCCCCTGCCTGAGGCTCCTCCCATGGGCCCTGGGCATTGGGGGCCAGGGGCTGGGGGCCAGAGTCTTACAGGAAGGAGAGAGGATGTTGGACACCCTCTTCCTTCTCCCTCTCTCAGCCGGAATAGAGCTTTTCTAAGTTCTCCTGTCCGAAGTCACAAAGTCAACGGCTACTTCCTGATTTGGCGGAACCAGCAAGTGTCGTGGCAAAAGTCAGATGTGTGGCTTTCTCTGGCTCGATGTCCCCAGTGGCTGCCGCCATCAGGGCTCTAAGCTCCTGGGTCCTCAGCTGGTTGGGGACCAGTCCTGTGCTACATTCCTGTGTCTTCCTCTGCATAGCCCCGACGCATCCAGAGCTGGGCTGTGGAATGCAGGTG